AATGTGCAACAGCAGCTCAATGTCCCAGTTCCTGCTCCTGGCATTGGCAGACAGGTGGGAGCTGCATTTGCTGCACTTCTGGCTCTTCCTGGGCATCTCCCTGGCTGCCCTCCTGGGCAACGGCCTCATCCTCAGCGCCGTAGCCTGCCATCAGCACTTGCACCCCCCCAGGGACTTCTTCCTGCTGCACCTCTTTCTCACAGACCTGGGCTACATCTGCACCACTGTGCCCAAAGCCATGCACAACTCCCTCTGGGACACCACAAATATCTCCTTCATGGGATGTGCCGCTCAGGTCCTTTTCTTTCTGTTCTTCATCTCAGCAGAGTTTTCCCTCCTGACCATCATGTGCTACGACCACTACATTGCCATCTGCAAACCCTTGCACTACGGGACCCTCCTGGGCAGCAGAGCTTGCGCCCACATGGCAGCAGCTACCTGGACCTCTGGGTTTCTCAATGCTCTGCTGCACACAGCCAATACATTTTTCCCTGCCCCTGTGCCAGGGCAATGCCCTGGGCCAGTTCTTCTGTGAAATCCCAAACATCCTCAAGCTCTCCTGCTCACACTCAGGCTACCTCAGGGAAATTGGCCTTCTTAAGGTTAGTGGCTACTTAGTGTTTAACTATTTCGTTTTCATGGTTTTCTCCTATGTGCAGATCTTCAGGGCTGTGGTGAGGATCCCATCTGAGCAGGGATGGCACAAAGCCTTTTCCACGTGCCTCCCTCACAGGGCTGTAGTCTCCCTGTTTAACATCACCTCATTCATTGCCTACCTTAAGCCCCCCTCCATCTCCTCCCCATCCCTGGATCTGGTCCTGTCAGTTCTGTACTTGGTGATTCTTCCAGCACTGAACCCCCTCATCTACAGCCTGAGGAACCAGGAGCTCAAGGATGCCCTGAGGAAACTGATAACTGGGTATTTTTCAGAAGCAATAAACTCTCCTTCTTTTGCATGCTATGTATCTCATTATAGGTCAATCCTTTCATGTACTTCATTAACAACCCACAATAAGTTCTCTATTTTTTGCTCCTGGAATGGGTGTTTTTTTTTGTTAGAATTTGTTTACAGCAAGATATTTTTATATAAATAAATATATATTTTTTTTTTTTTTATACTTATAAACACCATTTTCTCTTCAGTGTTTACCTTTCTCGCCTGGTCCAGAGGCTGTACAAATTGGGAACTGTACTCACTGTCTGCTTAAACAAAATAAATAACTCTGTACTGACTGGTTTCCCTGACATCTTTCCTCTCTGATTTCTCTGGAGCTGCAGGGTCGGTGCCTCTGTGCACAGTTGGGCGACAGAAGAGTCCCTGCAGAGCAGCCCTGGCAGGGAGCAGCAGCTCTTCTCCTCCGGGGCCTCCTCCTCCTGCCCTTGCCCACTGTCCTGCAGAGCCCTGTGTTGTTTGAGGCCTCAGTACTCAGGCAGTCGGGGCCAGTCCTGCTTTAGGACTGGGCAGTGACTGCAGGCAGGGACAGGCCATGGGCACTGCTGGTACAGAGCTGACCTCTGCAGCAGCGCTGCCATCCTGCAGGGGCATCTCCTCAGGGCAGGGCCTGAGAGCTTCCATCTGTTTTCCAGTTGACTCTGCAGGCTGTGCCCAACACAAGGCCCTGCAGAGGAAAACAACATGAGCAGCACAAGTGTGGGAGGTGTCAGGGTGGGTGCACCCATCAGTGCGTTTGCACAGCCAGTGCTGTTCCCAGCACTGGCCTCTCAGTCCAGGGCAGAGAGGTTGTTCTTCCCTCCAAGGAGGGACAGCAAATGACCCGCTCAGCAGTCCATGTTTGCCTGGTATGGACAAAACATGCCCATGTGTCACGCCTTGGGGGTGGGGGGCACCAGGTCTACCCCGGCACACCGAGACCAGGTCTACCCGTTAAAAAGAGAGACCAGGTCTGCCCGTTAAACTTGGGCACTAGATCTACCCGCACTGACCAGAGAGCAGGTCTACCCTTAAAACAAGGACACCAGGTCTTCCGACTAAAACCCGAGACCAGGTCTACCCGTTAGACTCGAGCACCAGGTCTACCCGCACGGCTTGGACACCAGATCTACCCCTGGGACTCTGAGACCAGGTCTACCTGCTTAAAAAAAAAAAAAAAAAAAAGAAAGAGACCAGGTCTACCCATAAGGTTTGGGCACCAAGTCTACCTACATGACACCGACACCCAGTCTACCCATGGGACACCGAGACCAGGTCTACCCATTATAAAAGAGAGACCAGGTCTACCCGTTAAGCTCGGTTTACCCTCAATGCATGGAGAGCAGATCAACCCTTTAAACAAGGACACAGGGTCTACCTGCTGAAACCCGAGACCAGGTCTACCCGTCTGACTCGGGCATCAAGTGTACCCGCACGGCACGGACACCAGTTCTACCTGCCAGCTTCGGGCACCAGGTCTACCCGTCGGGCTCAGGCACCAGGTCTACCTGTGGCACTGGGACACCAGGTCGACCCGTGGCACTGGGACACCAGGTCTACCCGCCCAACTCAGACGCAACCGCGTCACCCCTAGAGAGTCCCAGCTACTCCCCCCTCCCCGGACCCGCGCCGCAGCGCGTGTATTTCCCGACACAGAATTAATCGCTCGAGAGACTAGTTTTGGCTTGAAGTGGCAAGGCATTTGTTTCCAGTGACATCAGGGATGCCGACCAACCCACCCGGCACAAACTAGCTCCGGAGCTCTTGGCGAAAAATTGGGGGATTTAAAGGGCTTTTACTAGAGGTTTCCCGGCACGAATGTGGTCGAAACTGAGGCATTGCCAATTTGTCGCACGGGAACTCCCCACATCAGAGAAAACCTCCCTCTCGGACCCCACCATGTCGGTTCTGCCCACACAACCGGCCCACGCCCCCGTCGTAACCCCATTTGTAACTATGCTCTCATAAGAGAGTCATAGTAACTCCCGCCGTTTACCCGCGCTTCATTGAATTTCTTCACTTTGACATTCAGAGCACTGGGCAGAAATCACATCGCGTCAACACCCACCGCGGGCCTTTGCGATGCTTTGTTTTAATTAAACAGTCGGATTCCCCTGGTCCGCACCAGTTCTAAGCCGGCTGCTAGGCCCCGGTTGATGCAGGGTGTCAACCCAGGGACCCCCCCCGGGGACCGTCCCCTGCGCGAACTGCACAGCCCGCGTCTGCCACGGTCGCACGCGGGGCACGCCCGCCGGGACCGCACGGTGCGCTGTCAGACGGCAGCACACTGGGGCGCTGACCACGGCAAGGTGGAGGGCAGGTGGGGGGGGACAGGTGGCGCCCGCCGCAGCTGGGGCGGTCCACAGGAAGGACCCGGTGCACATCCAGAGTCGTCGCCGTGCGCGCACCTTGGAGACCTGCTGCGGATATGGGTACGACCTGGCGCGAGACTTACACCCTCTCACGCGGATTTTCACAGACCAGCGAGAGCTCATTGGACGCTGCCAGAACTGCGACGCTTTCCAAGGCGCGGGCCTCTCTCTCGGGGCAAACCCATTCCAGGGCGCCAGGTCCTTCACAAAGAAAAAGGAACTCTCCCTGGGACTCCCTCCGGCTTCTCCAGGATCGGTTGCGTCACCGCACTGGGCACCTCACGGCGCCCGTCTCTGCCACTCCAGATTCCAGGACCTGAACCCGACTCCCTTTCGATCGGCTGAGGACAACGGAGGCCATCGCCCGCCCTTTCGGAACGGCGCTCGCCTATCGCTTAGGACCGACTGACCCATGTTCAACTGCTGTTCACATGGAACCCTGCTCCACTTCGGCCTTCAAAGCTCTCGTTTGAATATTTACTACTACCACCAAGATCTGCACCTGCAGAGGTTCCACCTCGGCCCATGCCCCAGGCTTTGAGGTTCACCGCAGCGACCCTCCTACTCATCGCGGTCTAGTCCTCGAGGGCTTCGCACTGCTGGCGACGACCGGGTATGGACCCGATGCTCTAGCGCCATCCATTTTCAGGGTTACTTGATTTGGCAGGTGAGTTGTTACACACTCCTTAGTGGATTCCGACTTCCATGGCCACTGTCCTGCTGTCTAGATCAACCAACACCTTTTCTGGACTCTGATGAGCATTGGCATCGGTCACCTTAACCCGACGTTCGGTTCATCCCGCAGCAGCAGTTCTGCTTACCAAAAGTGATCTACTGAACACTCACATTCCACGGCTCGGCTCCCCGCCAGTGAGTCAACCCCCTTACCCACTGAAAGTTTGAGAATAGGTTGAGATCGTTTCAACCCCAAGACCTCTAATCATTCGCTTTACTGGGTAAAACTGCCTCGTGCCAAGTGCCAGTTATCCTGAGGGAAACTTCGGAGGGAACCAACTACTAGATGGTTCAATTAGTCTTTTGCCCCTAGACCCGGGTCGGATGACCAATTTGTATGTCAGGACCGCTACGGACCTCCACCAGAGTTTCCTCTGACTTCACCCTGACCAGGCATAGTTAACCATCTTTCGGGTCCTAGCACAGACATTCATGCTCCACCTCCCCGGCCGGGCGGCGCGGGCGAGACGGGTCGGTGGTGCGACCGGGACTTCCAGCGCACGCGTGCCCCAGGATTCCACCTCAGCCGGCGCGTGCCGGTCCTCACCTTCATTGGGCTGAGGGCTTTCGTTCGTGAGGTCCCTGACTCGCACACGTGCTACACTCCTTGGTCCGTGTTTCAAGACGGGTTGGGTGGGTAGCCGGCATCGCTGCGGACCCTGGACGCCACCACGTGGGGGGAGGAGGGTGGTCCTCTCCCTTGATCCCGGGATTCGGTGAGACCTGCTGCCCAGCGACTCTAACACCCGCTGCTGCTCGCACGGCACCGGGTCACCTGCCCACCAGAGGCCTTTCCAACCAACCCACAACCAGTCGCGGTGCACCACCATGGATGAAATGCAACTGACCAGGGTCGGCTGCCCCCCCAACCCGCCCCTACAGGTGGGGGCCCGGGGGACGGAGGGGAGGCGGAGGCGGGGATCTGTCGCGCCCATGTCGGTCAACCACGGCCGTCGTGGGGA